CTGCCTCCGATCCAGCTCCATGCTAACAGTCTGGGGAAAGTAGCAGATGATGACCCAAGTGCTTGGGCCTCTGCACCCATGTGGGAGACCCAGAAGAAGTTCCTTGCTCCTGGTTCCTGACTTGAGCTTGACCCAATCCTGACCACTGCAGCCACCTGGGGAATAAACTAACAGTTGAAGGATCTTCTTGTGTGTGTGTGTGTCTCTCTCTCTCTCTGTCTTTCAAATAAATAATTTTTTTGAAAATGTATGCAAGTAAAATTCCCAGAGTCTGATTTATTCAGGCACAACCAGGATCACATGTGGGTCACCAATCATCCCATTCAGTCATTGCTGCTTCCTGCATGCTCCACTCACTAATGCTTTTGAGCAAATATTTTTAAAACACACAACAATCCCAAAGAAAAGTAATGAGCATCTTAATGATAGAATATCCTATGTCTGGAATTAAGAGGAAAAAACTTTAAAATTTTAGGCAGCTGTCTTGTAAAAGATTAGAAAATGCATGAAAGATGCACATAATCCATACTACTCGTGGAGACAGCTATTACACCAACCTGAAGGACATTCATTTGTCTTGTGTCACTGGGTCAGGCATCCCAAATCAGAGTACTTGGGCTTAGTACCTGTCTCAGGCTCCTGACTCCAGCTTCCTGCCAGTACAGACACTGGGAAGCATTGGTGATGGCTCAAATAACTGGGTTCCTGCCACGTAAGGAAAAGGCCTACACTGAGTTTCCAGCTCTTCATGTCAGCCTCAGCTTAGCCCTGTGTTGTGAGTATCTGGAGGAGTGAACCAGCAAACAGATTCTCTCACATCTGCATCTTAAATAAATAATTTAAAAAAATTTTTTAAAGATGACTTAAGGAAAGTGATCAATATAAAAAAATAGTGGGCTTCACAGACAATACTGAAGTCTTCTGTTGCATAAGGCATTACCATTTGGAGGAAACAAAAGAATATGCCACCTAAAGTAGTTGGAAGAATTACCTAAATCTATTAACAGAAAACCATTAGAACCATGCCTGGCATTTAATAAACAGCTAGTAAACATCAGCCACTACTATTATTTTGTATTGAAGTGAGAACCATTTTGGATGAAATCCTTTCTGTTGGACTGGCTATTATAATGGTTATGGTATCACAGAATTCATTTCTTCTGCTAGAAACTTTGGCTTCCCATCTCATCTCCAGCTGTTAGGAGAACCTGGTTGGGAGAAAGGGGTAGGATCTGGGCAGCCTGAGAAAAAGAAAGGACTACAAATACACTGAGAAAAGTTGCCCAGAATCCCAAAAGAGGTAGAATTCAACAGAGGTGATGAGTCTGTAGCCTTGAGTGGGTCTGAAAAGTCATTTTTCGGGCCCGGCGCGGTGGCACAAGTGGTTAAGGTCCTCGCCTTGCACGCCCGGGATCCCATATGGGCGCCGGTTCTAATCCCAGCAGCCCTGCTTCCGTTTCAGCTCCCTACCTGTGGCCTGGGAAAGCAGTCGAGGACGGCCCAAAGCTTTGGGACCCTGCACCCGCGTGGGAGACCCAGAAGAGGCTCCTGGCTTCGGATCGGCATAGCATCGGCTGTTGCGCTCACCATTGGACGGAAGATCTTCCTCTCTGTCTCTCCTCTCTGTATATCCGCCTTTCCAATAAAAAATAATAAAAACAAATCTTAAAAAAAAAAAAAAAAGAAAAGTCATTTTTCAGGTTTTGACGGAACAAAATGTGTAAGGCAATCAAAAAGAGAATTACATAAAGAAATCCTCACAGCTTGCGGTTGCTCCTGCTTATTGTGCTTGCTTAACGCCTCTCCTTTGCATAATGTAAATATATTTGCTTATATTTAAACACAGTGGGGAAATGCAGGAAAGCACTAATGAGATGGACGTGCAGCATTCAGTAAGGGAGTCCACTGAAGTCTTTTTGAAATTCTGCAGCGGTGAGGTAGGTTGCCTGCAGTGTTATCGAAAGGCTGCATAGTTATGGATATTTTGTTCCAGATTCTGACTGAGCCTGAAACTGTGGACAAAAAAGGTTCTCCCTCTCTTTGCCTAACAGCAAACTTTCCAAACTTTCTAAACTGCCTAACACATACCACTAGCAAACCAACAGGTCATTTGCTTAATAATATATGCTATTGCATAATATCTTACAACCCCCAAATAGTTGTCACATTGTTAAAAAATTTTTTTTTTTTTTTTGCTTTACTGTATTTCAGGGAATCTGATAAAACTGGACAGAACTGGTTGCAGCCAATCTGGTATTTTGAGGCTGCACAGATGGAGTTCAATCAACTGGAGAGTAACCTTACAATTCATTGTAATGTTAAATGACACACCTCTGAGATGTTTCAGCAGTCAGCTTTGAACATACACTGCACATGTATGAGTTTCATTGGCCCAAGGTCAAAGAGGTTCTCTTTCCCTTTTCTCTGTACCTTCTATATTCAGTTGCTTTATTTCACCCGCTTCTACCTCATTTAGCCAAACTACATAAATGTTCAATCCCCTTTCTTAACTACTAGGTCAAACACACATCCTTGGGATACTACTTTCATTTCTCTTGGCTAAATACTTTTGCCAAGATGGAAATCCTGAGTCACCTGCTATTCCTACTTTCAAGTTTTTAAAAAACTAAATGGGGGGTAGGAGGGCTGGAGCTGTGCCTCAGCCACGTGTGAGACCTGAAAGAATCTCCTGGCTTTGGTTTGGGGAATGAACCAGCAGATGAAAAGATTTCTCTCCCTGTGTCTCACCTTCTATTAATCTGTCTTTCAAATAAAAATAAAATCCTTTTTAAAATATGCATTTTGAACTTGACAAAGTGTCCCAAATATACCAAAGGGGTCTCATACATAGATATAGCGTGGGTGTGTAGAAAAGGACTTCAGGCAGGTGTGTGGTTGTGCTGCCCAGGTAAGACTTACTAGCTCTGCCCTTGCACCTGTAGCTGGGACTTTGGGACCGCCATTTGCTCCCAGAGCCCTGTACCTCTGGGCAGTGTGTCTCCTGCTCAAGGACAAGAGTAAGTGTATTTATTTGACAGTTTGGGATGTTTTATAGCAATGCTATTTTACAGAAAAAGGAGTTTTCAAAGAAACAGCCAAGTGTTTTCTTTGTTGGAGTTAAGTATGCCTAGAACTTTGCTTCAACTGCCAGATTTGGCACTTTGGTTCTCACTGGGATGAGGGACATACCCTGACAGAAGTCGACATGGATTTGCTGAAAAAGCCAGAATGCCCTAGAGCATCATCCTAAGCAAAAATGGGACTCATTCACCTCACCCCTGAGATTCTAGGGAGTCCCCTTTCCCCGAAGGCACTGAGTAGGAGGTGGAAGGGGAGCAGTTCAGAGTAGCTGATTGCGGCAGCCATGCAAACACAGAATCAGGAGGACAAAGAGGAGATCCAAGTCACGGAGTGGGTGTTGTACATTAAGCCTCCAATTGTAGTGCTGACATCCCATATTGGCACCAGTTAGAGTTCCAGATGCTCAACCTACACAATCCAAATCCCTGCTAATAACCTGGGAAAGCACTGAAGGATGGCCCGAGTACTTTTCCTACACCCACTTGAGAGACTGAAAAAAGCTCCTGGCTCCAGGTTTTGACCTGGCTAGATTCTGGTTGTTGTGGCCATTTGTGGAGTAAACCAGGAAGTGAAAGCCCTCTTTCTCTTCTTTATAACATTATTTTTTTTTAAGAGGAGTGGTATTTAGTCTAGTCGATGTATACCAGTTAAGATGCCTGCATCTCACACTGAAATACGTGAACTCTGCCTCCTGACTTGTTTCCGGCTAATGTAAATCCTGGGAAGCATCAGTGTGTTCTTGCCATCTGGGTGGGAGACCTGGACTGAATTCCCAGCTCCTACCTTTGACCTGGCCCATTCCTGACATGACAGACACTTAGGGAATGAATCATGAACTAGTGGAGGAGGATTCTCTCTCTTTCTGCAAATCTGCCTATCCATATAAATAAATAAGCCTTTGATAAAGGGCATTCTCTGCTGCCCCAGGCTTCTGAGGCGGCATCCATGGAACTTCTGTCGTCTCTGCCAGCAGCTGACACAACTCTCTCACTCCTCCTTCTTCCCTGGCCTCCCCATCATTATCAGGGGTCCACGTGAGCCTGTAATTCCCATCTCCCTCCATCCCCTCACCTCTGCAAGAATGATTATTAATCAATTAACCACTGCTATTATTAATCTATAAATTGTTAAATATATAGGATCACCAAACTATTTGGCAATTCCATATATAGATGTAAATATTTACATGCATTTAAAAGAACTTTAGGAAAGATCTCAGACTTATATATGCACATAATGGCATTCACAATCCTATTGGCCTGTTGTCGAATGGATAAAGAAAACGTGGAATGTGCGTTTCTGTATAATGGAGTCTCACTCAAGACTTTAAAAAGGGAGGACATTTTGACACATGACAACACTGGTATGGATGAACCTGGAGAACAAAGTGATATAAATCACAGAAGGCAGTGGTAAGTCACACACACAAAACACTGCGTCAGTTCGTTCACTCCTGTGTGGTATGTAGTCAAATACACAAACGGAAAGCAGAATGGTGATTTGCAAGGGCTGGGGAAGAGGAGGTGAAATGAAAAGCCAGCGTTTACATCTTGGAAAAGGACATGAATTGTAGAAATCGATGCTTGGGAGGGTTCAACAATAATCCTTAAGCCTAACACTCCCAAGCCATACAACGGAACAATGATTCTGGTGGCAAACATATGTATATTTTGTCTTCTTAAAGTTAAATGAAAAAAGAAAAAGCAGAGCCCTGTCACAGAACGGCCACCTATATCAATCAAAAGCAGTGGTGGGAGGAGCACCTCAGACAGCAGCCTGACCCGGAGCTGCGGACCAGGAAGCCAAGGGCGAGCCAAGGGCAGGGCTGGGGCGCCAGGGCAGCCGCAGGGCACGGCGACGGGGCCGCCACTGCGCAGGCGCCTCGGGCACGCACCGGATGTGACGCGAGCAGCGCCGAGACAGGTCCGAGGAAGGGCTGAGCGCAGGTCCCAGCTGCACGGCCAGGGCTGTGGACCCGCCGTCACCATGAGCTGCACCATCGAGAAGATTCTGACCGACGCCAAGACGCTGCTAGAAAGGCTGCGGGAGCACGATGCGGCGGCCGAGTCGCTGGTGGATCAGTCCGCGGCGCTGCACCGGCGTGTAGCCGCTATGCGCGAGGCAGGCACGGCGCTTCCGGACCAGGTCAGGCGGAGGCCAGCGGGCGCGGGGTACAGAAGGGCTCGAGTGGGCGGACCTCGGCCCGGAGCTGGTCCTGGTCTCAGGGTGGAGGTATTGGGGCTGACACTCGTGCCCGGGAACTCTGGCTCCTGCCCCGGCCCTGCTGACTGTTGACTGTCTGTGCAGTATCCAGAGGATGCAGCCGACGCGAAGGATGCAGCCAAGTACAAACCCCACATTCTGCTGTCCCAGGAAAATACCCAGATTAGAGACCTGCAGCAGGAGAACAGAGGTGAGTCCGGCTTTGGTGCAAGTTAGGGTTGGTTCCTGTCTGCTGATGGCACAGCTACCCTAACACATCCCTGGGTGTGGTTTCAGGTCAATACCTCTAATAGGGAATGTATGCCCTCTCGGCCCAGTTACTAAATCCACCACATGAGCAGTTTCCAGCTTGTTTTTATAAGCTACTTGTCTACCAGATTGACATTGCATGGCTTTATTTTTAGGTATCCCCAGGTGGAGGCTTGCATGACCAGAGAGTATATCCTTAAGCACTTAAAATTTAATGTTCAGATAGTCATAAGACACTGAAGATAGAAGACTTGGGGTTCTTATGCAAGATGGAAGAGCAGAACTTTTTCCTAAGGATATCTATTTGTTTTCTTTTATTTAAAAAAATATTTTTATTGGAAAGATATCAGCTTTATAGAGAGAGGGGGAGAGGCAAAGATCTTACTTCACTGGTTCACTGCCCAAATGGCCACAAAGACTGTAGCTGAGCCGTTCCAAAGCCAGGAGCCATAAGCCTCCTCCAGGTCTCCCGTCCAGGTGCAGGGTCCCAAGGTTTTGGGCCATCCTCGACTGCTTTCCCAGCCACAGGCAGGGTGCTGGATGGGAAATGGAGCAGCCAGAACACAAACTGGCACCCATATGGGTTGCTGGCCCTTACAGGCAAGGATTTAGCCATTGAGTCACTGTGCTGGACTGAGGACTATTCTTAGGCTTAATATATTTTTAGCTGGCTAATGTATAACCATCGTCAAAGGCTCTGATAGTAATAGTTGCATAGCAGCTTACAGAGGGCTTCAGCTTATGTCATTACCTTGTTTCCTTGTGCCTTCATTTGAGGTAAGCTATCCAGGAATGTAGACAGGGCCCAATTCCAGTCACTGCAGCCATCTGGGGAGTGCACCACATGATGGAAGATTTCTTTCCCTCTCCCATTTTTGCTGTGACTCTGACTTTCAATAAATTAATCTTCAAAAGAAAAGAGAAAGCGACTCAAAGAAATTAAAGGACTTGGGCCTGGCACAGTAGCCTAGTGGCTAAATCCTTAACCTTGCAAGCACCAGGATCCCACATGAGTGCTGGTTTGTGTCCTGGCTGCCCCACTTCCCATCCAGCTCCCTGCTGTGGCCTGAGAAAGCAGTAGAGGACAGCCCAATGCCTTGGGACCCTGCACCTACCTGACAGATCCCCAAGAGGTTCCTGACTCCTGGCTCCTGATTGGTTCAGCTCCAGCCATTGTGGCCACTTGGGGAGTGAACAGCAGATGGAAAATGTTTCTGTCTGACTCTGTAAATCGGACTTTCCAATAATAATTTAAAAATAAATATTTGGGGGAGAAAAGCTAAAACCTTAAGGACTTGCTTGCTTGCTTATGAGTAATCAGGCCAAGCACTGAATGCCAAACCAGTGTTTTCTGATTACACATTATAGGTTGTTTCCCTAAACTGTGCTACCTCTAGCTAGATAGTTACTCTTCATGTAGATCTTAAAATGTCTGTTTGGTGGACTTAAATATAGATACAACAACAGTTTGATTTCGTAGACTTAAACATGATTAACAGTGTCTCAGGGAGTGTCATAAAATTCCAGCTGTCGATAGTGTGGCTTTGGGATTTGTTGCTCAGCCTTCACTGTTCTGTTCGTTTGATAGAGCTCTGGGTTTCACTGGAAGAACACCAGGATGCGCTGGAACTCATCATGAGCAAATACCGGAAACAAATGTTACAGCTGATGGTCGCTAAGAAGGCGGTGGATGCTGAGCCTGTCCTGAAAGCTCACCAGTCACACTCTGCAGTAAGAAACCGGGGTGACAAATTCTGGACAAACCAAATGAAAATCTGGAGTTTGTTTTAGATTCCAACTTTTTTTTTTTTTTTTTTTTTAAGAAAAAGGTTTATCACATTCAGTATTTATTTGCTGTGGTTTTATAAAGACTATAAAGAATAAAATAATACAAGTATTATTTTATATAATATTCTTTCTTACATAATATTCCTTATAAAGAATAAAAAGGGCATGGAAGGCTGCTGAGATCCTTTTGTTTAAATGGGACTAAGGTTGCTCTGTCCTTCACTAAGATCTCTTTTCAAGATGTTGATGAAGGCTTAGCTTTCCCAGCAAATAATGTTAGTAAGAGTTGGAGCTGCTCAATAAGAGACATCTTAAAAAGTTCATGGAGGGCCCGGTGCATTGGCTCAGTGGCTGAATCCTTACCTTGCTAGTGCCAGGATCCCATATGGGCACAGTTCATGTCCCACCTGCTCCAGTTCCCATCTACCTCCCTGCTATTGACCTAAGAAAGCAGTAGAGGTGGTCCAAAGCCTTGGGACCCTGTACCTGCATAGGAGACCCAGAGGAAGCTTCGGGCTCTTGGCTTTGGATTGACTCAGTTCCAGCCATTGCTGCCATTTGGGGAGTGAACCGGTGGATGGAGGTTATTTCTCTATCTCCCCTTCTCTCCGTACATCTGATCTGCCTTTCCAATAAATGAAAGTCTTTAAAAAAAAAAGTTCATTTAGAGTGCTTATTTTAAAAAATTAAAAGCAAAAGACTAAATTTAAAAAGAAAAAAAACTTAGCATTTAACTCCACATGAACTTTTTGAGGAATACTCATGCTTCATTGATTAGTACTCGTACATTACTGTACTATGAAATACGAATTCATATTTTAATCCCTAACATAGTACTTGGCACAGAGCAGGCAGGCAATAAACCTTTATTAAAATGAATGAATTAGGGGTCAGTGTTGTGGCCTAGCAGGGTCAGCATCTGCCTGAAGTGCCAGAACCTCGTATGGGCACCTGTATGAGTCCTGGCTACTCCACTTAAAATCTAGCTCCTTGATAGTGCACCTAGAAAGTGGAGATGGCCCAGATCTTTGTGCCCCTGCACTCACGTGGGAGACCTAAAAGCAGCACTAGGCTCCTGCTTTGTTGTGGAACAGCCTTGGCTGCTGTAATCATTAGAGGAGTGAACCCACAGATAGAAAATGCTCTCTGTGTTTATCTCTACCTCTGTCTCCATTTCTCCCTAGTTCTGCCTTTCAAACAAATTAAAAAATAGTGCTCGCTTCAGCAGCACATATACAAATAAAAAATAAACCTTCAAAAAAAATGAAATAGCATTATACTATGTTGTGAGAGGAGGCAAGTATAACTTTAAAGAAATGTTATAATTCTACACTTCGCAGCTAATGACTTGATTGGAGAGACCCCAGTGACTGTTGCTATGTTCACTGTGAATTTCCTAGCTTCATTGTACATTCACGTGTACTCTCCTCATTGAATCCTGGGTTTGTAGATTGGAGCCTCATTGTTTGCTATAGTGAAATGGAGCGAATAATAACATTTCATCTTAGCTTCCATTGAGTGCATTTTGAATATATATATATATATATATACACACACACATATATATTTATTAATGGAAGGGGAGATTTACAGAAAGAAGGAGTGACAGAAAGAGCTTCCATCCTCTGGTTCACTCCGCAAATGGCTACAACTGCCAGAGCTGATCCAATCTGGGAGCTTCTTCTAGGTCTCCCACATGGGTGCAGGTTTCAGAAGAGAAAACATGAACCTTGAGAAGACAAGCTTTAGCTCATTTAGAAATACTTTCTAAGAAATAGGACCAAAGGTAAAAGCACCTGAGATTGTAGTAAACTTTTTACAAGTAAAAGGATTAAAATTTAATTTTAGAACAGCCACCTGAAGATACTGTCCAAAATTCAGTTGTGTGTAGACTACAGTTGATCTTTTAACTTGTAGCGCAGATGTTTAGCCTAGAAATTAAGACTTCCTCGTTGGGGCCAGTACATTGGCTTAACTGGCTAAACCTCCTCCTCCAAGCACAGCATCTCATATGGGTACCAGTTCGTGTCCTAGATGCTCCACCTCCCATCCAGCTCCCTTATATTGGCCGAAGAAAACAGTGGAGGATGGCCCAAAGCCTTGGGACCCTGCACCTGTGTGGGAGACCCAGAAGAAGCTCCTGGCTCCTGGCTTTGGATCAACTCAGCTACAGTCATTGTGGCCATGTGGGGAGTGAACCATCAGATGGAAAAATCATTTTCTATATCTCTTCTCTCTGTAAATCTTCCTTCCCGATGAGAATAAATTAAAAACAAATAAATATGGAGTCCTCGGCTTCTATACCTTTTCTCTAGCTCTGGATTCTGCTAATACAGAATCCTGGGAGGCATCAGTGAGGGCTCACGTAATTGAGTTCCTACCACCCTCTTTGTAGACCTGGTTTGCCTTCTTGGCTCCCAGCTCAAACCAGCTCATTCACAACCATTGCACGCATTTCAGAGTTGGCCAGCAGATGGGAGAGGTGGGTAAGAGTGGGCTCTCACTGTCTCTGGCTCTCACTTGCACTGTTGCTCTCTCTTAGCCTGTCTAGTAAATAGATTTCTTTCTAACAATTATTTAAATATCTTTGTGAATACCATAAACATACTCCATTATGGTTTTACATTTGATGATTCAAATTATGGTGTAACCACGTTGTGATTTGTAGACTGTGAAGTGAACTTTATAACTGCTAATACATTTGTTCTTGTGCACGTCATATCTGTAAATGACTTTCTCCCTTTTTAATTTCTTTATAGGAAATTGAGAGTCAGATTGACAGAATCTGCGAAATGGGAGAAGTGATGAGGAAAGCAGTTCAGGTAGATGATGATCAGTTTTGTAAGATTCAGGAAAAATTAGCCCAATTAGAGGTAAGATTTTAAACTCACAATATTCCTGTTTTTGTACAACTGGAAATGTATGCCACTATGAGCCTGTCAGTGTTTTATATATTTTTATGTATGTGTTCTTATACTAACACTCTTCATACGCTTTTTAAGAAAGGCAACATTCTAACAGCCATCTGTGAAGGTACCAACCAAGAACTACATAGAGGCTGATATATTCTATTAAGAATGTAGAATGAAAGGAACAGGTTATACATGAGCGAATATCTCCCCTCTGCCATAAGAAGTCATATGGCTTATGGTGCAGCAGGTAGAGCTACAGTCTGCATTGCTGGCATCCCTTATGGTTGCCAGTTCAAGTCCCAGCTGTTCCACTTCCAACCCAGCTAATGCTCCTGGGAAAGCACTGGAAGGTAGCCCAAAATCTTGGGTCACTGCACCCACGTGAGAGACCTGGATGAAATTCCTGACTTGTAGCCATGGCCTGTCTCACTTCTAGCTGTTTCATCCATTTGTAGAGTGAACCAGCTGAATGAAAATCTCTGTTAACTCTTTCCAAACAATATTTTTCTATATATATAAAAGGGAAGAACGAAAAGAGCTGCCTGTGAGAGAGTTCCCGCTGCAGTGCCTAGTGGAAAGAATAAGGCTAAAACTTACATGATGTGAAATGATAGTGTGGGGGGGAAGCGCTTCATATGGTAAATTTGTTGCTCATGAGCTCTGACCTCTTGGTGAGGCTGAAGAGTACAGTTTCCCGGAATTTTCCTGTAAAGAAAAATAGAAGAAACAATAGTCTAAACTCATGAGAAGCATCAAGGGTATGAAAAACGATAAATTCCTCAAGGGACCTCATGTCTTCTTCGTAGCCTTAACTCTCGATAAATGTTAACTAAGCTATTAAGTAGTCTTTTAGGAAATGCTCAGCCTGTATGTGTGTGTGTGTTTAACTTCCTGATAACTTTAAAATAAGAATATGTTCTCTGTTCCTGGCTAAATCAATGCATCCTGAGGCAGTTTAGTAGTGCTAATCCTTGAGCTAAACATACATCTGTTCTTTTTTTCTTTTTTTTTTTTTCCAGCTTGAAAACAAGGAACTACGAGAATTATTGTCTATCAGCAGTGAGTCACTTCAGGTCAGAAAGGAAAACTCCGTGGACACAGTTTCCCAAGCCATCAAGTAACTGAACTTTGGAATAATGTCTGGAAATTGCCAAGGAAGGAAGCTGCTGTCTCCATTCAAGTCTTGTCTGTTCAGTTTCTTGCCCCAGACTTGATTTAAACTTCTCAAGTGGCAGTTTAGAATACCAGTTGATACTGGCTGTCCACAGTTTCAGGTGTATTGGTGAGAATACACACTGAATTACACCATTCCTTTCTGCAAAGGACAGCTTCCAACTGTTATTCTGGGACCTGAATTTCTACAAACTGTTATTTTCAGTTCATTTTTCTTTACCACATCTCTGAAACTTCAAGCATCTTATCACAAGCCAGGAACTTTATTTTATATAAGATTGTGAAACACACTTCTAAGGATTTTTAAAACTATTTAACTTGTTAAATCTATTTGGCATAAACCTCTTTTTTTTCTTCCTTTTTATTATTATTTTTTTATTTTATGTTTTATTATTTGACGGAAGGAATGCAACTGCATAGAACTTGCAGGGCAGAGTCTCCTATTTGTAACATCCTTCACCTGTGAAGTTTTAAGTCTCTGGTGCTAAGAGTTGGCATTTTGTGTCTGGTGTCTTTACTCTTAAATTGAGAGAGCTTATAGTTAGTTCCCAAGAAACATACTTGAAAGTACGTCAGCTGCTTTCTCCCCCAGTGATAATGCACTAGTCACCTTTTTCAAGGAATGCTGAGGAAGCTTTACTGTATATATGTATACACATGTGTGAATGGCTGAATGCTTAAGAAACAATGGTTTTCATTCCATTAAATATGAGTGAACATTTTTCATTTTTGCTGCAGTAGGAAATCTTCACAGCCAAATATCTCAGTGTGAAAAACATCACAGAAATGTTCACATCACAGTTCTTAGAAACTACATTCTATTGAATTTATCTAAGACAGCCATTTTAAAATGAAGGACCCCCAACTGATTGGATGTCTTTTGTTACTAGTATTAGGAATTAGGTTTTAGATGTTTTTCACACAGAAGCAGTTTTATTATCCAATTAAGAATCATTACATTTATAATGCTGTGTAAGCAACAAGAAACAATCTCGAATGCCAGGTGGTCAGCCAGATCCACTCATCAACTCACTTCCTTAGCTCAGTGTACTCACATTTAAAATTTATAAGTTACCTCATGTTATACTACTATTTAGGTTTCAAAAAAAAATAGTTGAAATAATGAATGCTAAACTCATCACTGTTACCCAGTAATATTAAGCACCATAATGCATGGGAAAGAGTATTAAAAAGGAGTTTTCCTTAGCGCTACATGTGATGTAAAGTTTCTTTCACACTGTTCTACAGAAGTTAGAAACATTCTCTCCAAGATGTCCTAAAAGCAATGGATTGCAATAGTACCAGTGGACTTTACTCGCTTAGTAAACATTAATGGAGAGTTGTCTGTCATCTTAGAATTTATCAAATTTCTGTTTGATATCCTGCAAAGAATCTGACTAAAGCACTTCAAATATGAACATTTTTATTTCCATTCCTAAGACTAAACTTAATGCAGCCATTTGGCTTGATGTCTTAAGGCCCCTGTAGTGCCCCAAAAGTAGATTCGGGAGATACATACGTTAAGCCATGTGCCAGCTGCCATGGTGAAATTTGACAGAGTGATATAGTAGTCAAATGGCCTGCTGAGGTCCCTTATCTGCTTTGTCTTCCTTCAGAACTGTTTATGAAGTTCTTTGCATCTCAAGTATCAGGATAAAGCTTAATTTTTCCATATGGGAAGTCAAAATCCTGAAAAATAGAGTTTTCAATGTACTATAAGGGCAGGGAGAGAGGGAGGGTAATATACATTCTGGCTAGAGTTGATGTTATAACATATAGTTAGAAAATTGAGGATCCGGCACAATGGCTTAGTGCCTAAATCCTCACCTTGCAACCACCAGGATCCCACATGAGTGCTGGTTCATGTCCTCGCTCTTCCACTGCCTATCCAGCTCTGCTTGTGGCCTGGGAGAGCAGTAGAGGACAACCCAAAGCCTTGGGACCCTGCACCCACATGGGAGACCTTGGGAAGATGAGCCTGGCTCCTGACTCTGAATCGGCTCAGGTCTAGCAGTTGTGGCCATTTGGGGAGTAAACCAGCAGACAGAAGATCCTTCTTTCTCTCTGTATATCCTCCTTTCTAAGAAAAATAAAGAAAATTGAATAAGGGTCAGTATTCTGACATTTGGGTAAAGCTATCTGAAACACTGGCACCCACTTGAATCCCAGCTGATCCACTTCTGACCCAGCTCCTTACTAAAGCATCTGAGGAAGCAAGGGAAGATGACCCAAATATTTGGGTCCCTACCCCCATGTGGGAGACCAGGATGAAGCTACTGGCTTTGTTTTGGCCCAGTTACAGACATTCTGGAAGTAGAATAGTGGATGGAAGATTCATCTCTCTGTCCATCTAACTGCTTTTTAGATCAATAGAATGCATCTTAAAAGGAAAGAAAGTTGAATGGAAACAGAATGTGTACTGTGGAAATTAGTTTCATTTTCGGTAACTACAGGAACTTGACTGGTTTGCAAAATCTTAATACATGATCGTGTCTCCTAATAGAAACTTCACTTTGAGAAGATTAGCTCATTTTTCTCAGTAATGAGTTTAATTACTAGGAGGTGCAGAAGGTTTTTCGCATATGTAGCCACTTTGCAAAATGGTCACATGAGTTTCATAAATCTGTAATTGGCACACTATTCAGCAGTGTAATTCTATCAAAAGTCTCAGAGTAGTAAGCTGTGCATTACATCAATGTTATATATAATTCTTGGATTAATAACTTAGCCAAAATTTGATTCAGACAGGTTTATTTCAGTGTTGCTCAAAGTGCTTCAGTGACCCAGAAATACAGGGTTGAGGATGGGACCCAGGAATTTGTGTTTTACCAATAATCCCCAACTACTTATAAGGACACTAGTTTAAGATTGCCTAGTTTACATGTTCAGTACTTCAGTAAAAGTTAAGAAAAAGCTGCCAGTGCCGTGGAATGATAGACTAAGCCTCTGCCTGTGGGACTGACATTTCCTGTGGGCACCAGTTCAAGTCCCTGCTGCTCCATTTAAAATCTGGCTCCTTATTAGTGGTCAGTGGAAAAGGGACCAAGACCTTGGGCTCCTGTATCCACATGGAACACCCAGAGGAAGCTCATGGCTTTGGACCAGCCCCAGCTCTGCCTATTACAGCTCTTTAAAGAGTGAGCCAGTGAATGAAAGACCTCTGTTCCCTCTCTGTAACTCTGCCTTTCAAATAAGAATAGATTCTTCCTAAAGTTATAAAAAGACATTGATACTGGGCACAGCTTCTCCTCTTCCTTCCCCCAGATACAGGAAAAACACAAAGAAAATTGGAGACAATAGTCTCATCTCCCCCTATTCCTCGACCCTTCCCACCTTAACCAATGGTTCCCATGGATATACACCTTTCTCAACTATGTAATCATCATCAAAAATAAAGTAAATACACACACACACACACAAAAGACATTGATACTTTTCATAAAAAAGCCTGGTAAGAGACATGTACATATAATCACAACACAGTGTAGAAGTATATGTAAGAAGGGCCTTATTTAAACTTGAGAGTCCAATAAAGACAATAACTGGTAAGAGGATAACTAAAAAACCTAGGTACTACACAAAGCGAGTATAGCTAGTACTGCAGTAATGGCCATTTATCCAATGCTTTTATTGTGTGTAATGTACTGTACTACATAATTTCCATTTCAAACATTCCTCATTTTGCAGATAGATACAAAGAGGCTATTTGTTCAAACTGGAACCAAGATTCAAGCCAAGGCAGATTATTTTAAAAGGAAAAAATAAAGGAGAGAAAGGTGAAGGCCTTCCATCTGCTGGTTCACGCCCCAAATAGCCTAACAGCCAGAGCTGAACTGATCCAAAGCTGAAGCCAGGACTTTCTTCCAGGTCTCTCACATCTGGGATATCCTGCGTTGATTTCCCATGCCATTAGCAAAGAGCTAGATCAGAAGTAGAGCAGCCTGGACATGAACCCGCACTCTTGTGGGATTCTGGCACCACAGGGTGGACAATTAGCCTATTGATCCATGGTGCCAGTCCCAGCATTCTTTTTTTTTTTTTTCTAATAGTAACCATATTTTTAAAGATTTATTTATTTTTATTGGAAAGGCAGATTCACAGAGAGAAGGAGAGACAGAGAGAGACTTTCCACCTGCTGGTTCACTCTCCAGATGGTCACAATGGCCAAGTTGACCGTGTCCAAAGCCAGGAGCCTGGAGCTGCTTTCAGGTCTCCTACCAGCTGGGTCTGGAACCAGGGTCCATATGGGATGCTGGCACCCACGGGCAGAGGCTTCGCCTACTATGCCATAGACACTGATTTGAATCCCAGCTGCTGAGAGAAAGATCTTCCATCTGCTGAGTCATTCCCCAAGTGGCCACAATAGCCAGAGCTGAGCTGATCTGAAGCCAGGAGCCAGGAGCTTCTTCCTGGATGCAGGGTGCCAAGCTTTAGCCCATCCACTACTGTTTCTCAGGCCACAAGCATGAAGCTGGATTGGGAAGTGTGGCAGCCAGGATATGAACTGGTGCCCACATAGGATCTTGGTGCATGCAAGGCAAGGACTTGAGCCACTAGGCTACTGAACCGGACCCACCTACTTCATTTATATTAAACACATTTAACTATAAGCTGTCATGTTTCCTATGTTGCAGTTATTTCACTGCAAAGTCTAATGGCAATTTCAGAGTGAACTGAGGAGTATTGTCTACTATTATTCATAGTGGAAAGTAGATTATGCTTTTTCTTTTATGACTCTGAACAAAAGGCTAAAGGAGACAGAATTTTAGAGCTTCAAATAACAACTTCACTCATAGTTGATGTAGCCTCGTAATGAGTGTGGAATTAACGGGTGAATTTATGGTATCCTACATTCTCTCTGTTGTATGTTTTACTACCACTCAGGTTGGAATGTCTTAACTTGGGTTAGAGATTAGTTCCCTGCTAATATGCCTGGCAACCCTGCCACCCACATAAGAGATCCAAATAGAATTACTGGCTCCTAGCTTTGAGCTGGCCCAGACTTGGCTATTATAGCCATTTGAAGAGTGAACCAGGGCCAGCGGCGTGGCCTAGCGGCTAAAGTCCTCGCCTTGAACACGCCGGGATCCCATAGGGGCGCCGGTTCTAATCCCAGCAGCTCCACTTCCCAACCAGCTCCCTGCTTGTGGCCTGGGAAAGCAGTCGAGGACAGCCCAAAGCCTTGGGACCCTGCACCCGCGTGGGATACCCGGAAGAAGTTCCTGGATCCTGGCTTCGGATCGGCATAGCATCAGCTGTTGCTTCGCATCAGCATAGCATCGGCCATTGCGCTCACTTGGAGAGTGAATCATTGGATGGAAATCTTCCTCTCTGTATATCTGATTTTTCAATAAATAAATAAATCTTAAAAAAAAAAAAGACTGAACCAGCAGATGGAAGATCTCTGTATCTGTTGCTCTACCTTTTAGATAAATAATCTTTTTTTTTTTTCAGAAAAAGTATAAGCATAAGCAGGATATTTCCGTAGTTTCTGTGTATAGTGATTTTCTATGACTGTCATTACCAATTATCACAAACTACATTGTTTAAATCAACAGAAATTTGGAACAGCAATTTAAAGAGCTGGTGCAGAGTTGAAAGCATGGGACTTGTGGGCTTGCCCCTGTGGGACTGCAGTATATACCAGTTTGTGAAAAAGCTGGGCATGATAACTGGACACAGACTGGAAGGCAGAACTCTTATGATA